GCAACAGTGACCCTCTTCCCTTTTGATAGATCCTGATCTCCCATTAGTTGGATATCTCCTTCTGTTAATCATTTGTCTACTACCCCTGAGAATCTGTCTCCCCTCCAATTTCAAAGCCCTACGCGTTGTTTTTAATCATCCTGTCTGAGTCTTCCCTCAGACCCAGTGAAAAAGACTTTGCATTCAAAACCTTGTCTATCTTTATCCCAACTGTGCAGTTGGTACAATAAATGATATCACTCATAAAGATCCTTACCTCAATAAGAAAATTACTATTATTTTCATAATCTTAATTGCTGTCAGTTCCCCTATAATATTTAGACTGTGAAAAGAAACCATGAAAGACAGATACTATTATGAAAAAAAGAGGAACATACCTGCTGAGTAATTCCAGTCCAGCAGAAAACTTTGGCAAAAACTCAACACTCCTATAAAAGAAATCATAAAAATTACAGGAGTTAAAAAAATAATAACCAATAATATTGCCTGATCATCTCCAAGTTAGTGCAGGATTGTTTCTTACAGAATTAGGAATCTTTAGTATGAAAAAGAGAGAGGTCATGATGGGGACAAGAGAATGGCAGTTTTCAAATATTTGAAAGGCTACAGTACCGTATATTGGAAAAAAATGTTCTACCTTGCCACAAAGGGCAGAACAAGCAGCAACGTGTTTAACTACAGCAAAAGTAGATTAGATGAAATACCAGGGATTAGGGGGAGGCCACAAAAAACCAAACGAACAACATCAACAACAACCTAACTCTCATAAAAGCAGGAGGACAATGAAACAAACCAACTAGAGAAATTATGAGGTTGGATATGCATCTATCTGGGATGGTTCAGGAATAGTAAATCCTATCAGTGTACAAGGAGTTTGACCAAATTAGGTCCTTTAATTCTATAAATGTTACTCATCATGTCAAAACCACAACATCCAAAACAATCAATCATAATGTTTTAGTGTAGGTTATAAGCACATGTAAAGAAGGTACTTTCTTAAAATTATTATTCCACCTCTTCCCATCAAAATATTTTAGCCTTAGCCTACACGATGAACATGTACCAAGCTTTTAGTTGCAAGATGATTTAAGAATACATATAAAGACTTCCAGCAAGTTACAGTTCACAAACAGTTAAATTGATTTAACGTTAATAACTGATAGATACATATATTCCTCAGTTTAATAAAGAAGTGATATAAAACACATTCAGCACATTAAAACACATTCAAACTAAGCTGTATGTACAATGTATTCCAGTTATTCACACCAGATAGGTACATAATTTTCATAATACAATGCTATTACCAATTTACATTGGAAAAAGGGTGGGAGTAAGGGGTAGGGAGGGTTATTTACAAAGCAGCTTTCAGCCCCACTGTCTACTTTGTAACTGACTGTACTTCATTTCTCTGCACCAAAAACAGAAAATAGGAAGCAGCTGTCAAAGGGCTGAAGCCTTGAAAAGGAAGGTTGGTGAAGGAGTTAGGCACTTTCAGGACTGCTCCCTCTCATTTTCAAGGCTTCTGATTGCAGCATTAAACTGATTATTAAGAGCCTTGAAAATGAAAGGAAATAGTCAGTTCAGGGCTGCTAATACCACAGTATTTACAGGTCTGTGTACATATCGTAAGCAATGTTCATTAAGCATATACATCCAGGTAAATGCCTATCTTAGTTTAGATCTGTTAAGCTATGTGCTTAACAGATTAGGCAGTAACTACAAGAGGAGTGTCCTTTTCAATCAACAGCTATTATAGTAATAATGTTGGGAAAAAGACAGATACGACTCTGCATTAGGAAACACGGCAATCGACTTTCACCAGATTCCTGGAGGCGAATCTTGAATTCTCTTCTGAAATACTTTTTATTATAACATTGTATAACAACATTGTTTTAAGCCTGCAAGGATCTTCTTTCTGTTCTGAAGCTAAAACCTGACAAATCAGGAAATAAACACCACAGTGCTTAATAGTCACAAAAGTACTGCAGTTCTTGTCATACAAATGCACTGGAAATGGTTAATGCTGTAAAACAGAACACATCACCTAAGAGGGCCAATGTTGAAGCTGGCTGGCTGATCTCAAAAAGCATGAAGTAAAAAAACGCTATCATGCTAAACACTGCCCAAGCATGGGGATGTTTGATTATCCAAGGCATAGTCTCTTAAATTTCACATAACCCACTGTATGTCTGTCTACTACAGGAAGAGTTTAGGACACTCTTCCTATAGTACTCATACAGAAATGATGCGTTAAACCATGTTTTACGAAAATAAATAAACGAGATAGAGCTCTCCATAAAAACACATGAAAATACCTCTGTTTGCTTTCTTTGACTTCTCTCGATTTGTCACCCAAAGTCTTCAACCTATAAGGTCAAGCAAAAGTATGAGACTCCTGCCGGCTGACATAAAAGAAATGTGATTCGAAAGAGCATCACCTCTGGGTGCCTTTTAACTACCTAATCTACCCTAGTGGTGGCCAACCTTTTTGGCAGGTATGCCACAAGTAAAGCCCCCACCTCTCCTTGAGTGTCACTCTGATCCCTGTTCCCCAGAGGTATTCCTGAGGCCCCTGCTACACATTACATATATTATGCAATTCACTGGTTAACCATGCAACAAATTTAAACTGGTCACACGTGGAAAGTAATTATCACACCATAAAATATAAAGAGAGCCAAACGATTACAAAGTTAGTGCTTGAAAATATACAACACCTTTTATAGCTGGTTTCTATCCAGTTTTAATTTGAAAGTGTTTGCCCTGATAGCGTTTGTGCTCTGGAGTGCCAGAACAATAGCAGAAGGGGTTGAATTTCCAGACATGCAGAGCGGAGTGGCAGCAGGACACTTCTGAGAAAGGAGGTGTCATCAGCAAGACCCAGGTCCTGGCCCTGCAACCACTGCAGTTTCATACAGGGAACAAAGATCCAAACCCTTAATTTGGCAGCAGCTAGAGTGCCAGTGAAGTCTTCACCTGGCTTTTGGCAGTGACTCCTCTTGCAGAACCGTCCTGCTGCCTTTCCATGCAGCTTAAGGCTCGAGCCCCCTGCCTCCATTCTACTGCATGCCTGGGGTTCACATGCCACACAGCAGTTGCCCATAAAAACATGTGCTGTGGGTTGGTCACCTGCTTGATTGCTTTCCATCTCTTGGACTGAAAATTAAAGTCACACACAGGAGTCTTTGGCAATGGGGGTCTCAGGGCTAGGGGGTCCAGGTCCCTTATCAGCTGTGATAGCTTTGTTATTTTTCTGGCCATGGCTATAAAAGGTGTCTTTACCCTGTGACAGCCTCATTTAAGTCACCTTGTGAGGCAGCACCTCAAGATACTTTCAGTGATGGGTTCGCCATATGCCCAGGAACAGCTTCAGGGCTCACACTTCCCATGGGACAGAAAAATCAGGACCTTGCCTTCCTAATAGGGTACTGTCTTCAGTGTCATAAACTCTGTAGTAACTGGTACCCCCATGCCCCAAGATGGAACAGCACTCTGGCATCTGCACGACCTCATAACGTGGCACTTTCAGAGCCCATGACACTAACAAGAGGACTTGCACCCTTGGGCAACTGTATGCCAGCGACTGCCTGAGAAGTGTCGCTAGCATAGTTCTGAAGCAGTCTGCTCCCCCATCACTAAGCAGCCTTTTCCATGGGAACTCTCTTAATGGGAAGCCCCTAGTCAAACCCTCACAGCCCGTGGGGGGCACAATTCAGGTCGGTGTGATTCCATCAGGAAGTGGGATGAGGTGTCCCCAGGGTCTCACTCTGGAGCAGTGGTGCATGACAGGATTGTAGCATCATGATGGGGTACAGCAGGGTTGAGAACTCCTTGTGGAGCAGTGTTACTGGAACCCCAGGTATGGGCAAAGCTGGGGTCACCAAGGGGCCCCAGGACTGTGTGGGGTGGCACCAGAGCACATGGGGGTACATAAGGGATGCCCAACTGTATTTCTTGGGGCATGGGACAATGACAGGGCTGGTCTCACTCTAGACTCCCTGGACTCGCAGCTTGCTGTGAATAGGTAGGTCCCAGACTGGAACTGTCAGGCTGGGTTAGTCCCAGACAAAAGCATAACTATCAAGTTTGCTCTGGGAAAAACCTCCCAGCACCCTGAGGGGTGTGTGGAAAGTAGGCTGACAAGTCCTGAAGGCCAGGGAGAGGAAAGGAAGGTAGTCAGTTTTACCTGTACTGAGGAGGCAAAGACCTGAGTGGTGCTGTTTTTGTGTCCTGCACTGGACTACATAGGGATGTTTTCCCCCTCCCCTCTCTGTAGCCAGTTCTTCCCCTCCATCCTTCTGGCTGGGCAAGTGCAGGGCTTTTCTCCCTATCCCCTTTCTCCCCCTCATCCCAATTAGGCACCTAGCTGTTTCTGCCCAGTCCCTCCAGCTGGGCTGACTTTGCTGCTGAGCAAGGTACAGGATGGTCTCCCAGCTGGGATTGCACAAACCTGACAAGTGGCAACATGCCCTTCCAACCCCAGACCTTGCCCCACCCCTCTTCTTTCATTTTGCTTGCAGTCTTCCTGCCCCAGCCCTCATGAATACCACAGACAGCAGCTGTGCATGCCACAGCGTGGCCACGCCTAATCTAGCCGATTCTTTTTCTTTTGTCCTGCAGGCAACAGTGACCCTCTTCCCTTTTGATAGATCCTGATCTCCCATTAGTTGGATATCTCCTTCTGTTAATCATTTGTCTACTACCCCTGAGAATCTGTCTCCCCTCCAATTTCAAAGCCCTACGCGTTGTTTTTAATCATCCTGTCTGAGTCTTCCCTCAGACCCAGTGAAAAAGACTTTGCATTCAAAACCTTGTCTATCTTTATCCCAACTGTGCAGTTGGTACAATAAATGATATCACTCATAAAGATCCTTACCTCAATAAGAAAATTACTATTATTTTCATAATCTTAATTGCTGTCAGTTCCCCTATAATATTTAGACTGTGAAAAGAAACCATGAAAGACAGATACTATTATGAAAAAAAGAGGAACATACCTGCTGAGTAATTCCAGTCCAGCAGAAAACTTTGGCAAAAACTCAACACTCCTATAAAAGAAATCATAAAAATTACAGGAGTTAAAAAAATAATAACCAATAATATTGCCTGATCATCTCCAAGTTAGTGCAGGATTGTTTCTTACAGAATTAGGAATCTTTAGTATGAAAAAGAGAGAGGTCATGATGGGGACAAGAGAATGGCAGTTTTCAAATATTTGAAAGGCTACAGTACCGTATATTGGAAAAAAATGTTCTACCTTGCCACAAAGGGCAGAACAAGCAGCAACGTGTTTAACTACAGCAAAAGTAGATTAGATGAAATACCAGGGATTAGGGGGAGGCCACAAAAAACCAAACGAACAACATCAACAACAACCTAACTCTCATAAAAGCAGGAGGACAATGAAACAAACCAACTAGAGAAATTATGAGGTTGGATATGCATCTATCTGGGATGGTTCAGGAATAGTAAATCCTATCAGTGTACAAGGAGTTTGACCAAATTAGGTCCTTTAATTCTATAAATGTTACTCATCATGTCAAAACCACAACATCCAAAACAATCAATCATAATGTTTTAGTGTAGGTTATAAGCACATGTAAAGAAGGTACTTTCTTAAAATTATTATTCCACCTCTTCCCATCAAAATATTTTAGCCTTAGCCTACACGATGAACATGTACCAAGCTTTTAGTTGCAAGATGATTTAAGAATACATATAAAGACTTCCAGCAAGTTACAGTTCACAAACAGTTAAATTGATTTAACGTTAATAACTGATAGATACATATATTCCTCAGTTTAATAAAGAAGTGATATAAAACACATTCAGCACATTAAAACACATTCAAACTAAGCTGTATGTACAATGTATTCCAGTTATTCACACCAGATAGGTACATAATTTTCATAATACAATGCTATTACCAATTTACATTGGAAAAAGGGTGGGAGTAAGGGGTAGGGAGGGTTATTTACAAAGCAGCTTTCAGCCCCACTGTCTACTTTGTAACTGACTGTACTTCATTTCTCTGCACCAAAAACAGAAAATAGGAAGCAGCTGTCAAAGGGCTGAAGCCTTGAAAAGGAAGGTTGGTGAAGGAGTTAGGCACTTTCAGGACTGCTCCCTCTCATTTTCAAGGCTTCTGATTGCAGCATTAAACTGATTATTAAGAGCCTTGAAAATGAAAGGAAATAGTCAGTTCAGGGCTGCTAATACCACAGTATTTACAGGTCTGTGTACATATCGTAAGCAATGTTCATTAAGCATATACATCCAGGTAAATGCCTATCTTAGTTTAGATCTGTTAAGCTATGTGCTTAACAGATTAGGCAGTAACTACAAGAGGAGTGTCCTTTTCAATCAACAGCTATTATAGTAATAATGTTGGGAAAAAGACAGATACGACTCTGCATTAGGAAACACGGCAATCGACTTTCACCAGATTCCTGGAGGCGAATCTTGAATTCTCTTCTGAAATACTTTTTATTATAACATTGTATAACAACATTGTTTTAAGCCTGCAAGGATCTTCTTTCTGTTCTGAAGCTAAAACCTGACAAATCAGGAAATAAACACCACAGTGCTTAATAGTCACAAAAGTACTGCAGTTCTTGTCATACAAATGCACTGGAAATGGTTAATGCTGTAAAACAGAACACATCACCTAAGAGGGCCAATGTTGAAGCTGGCTGGCTGATCTCAAAAAGCATGAAGTAAAAAAACGCTATCATGCTAAACACTGCCCAAGCATGGGGATGTTTGATTATCCAAGGCATAGTCTCTTAAATTTCACATAACCCACTGTATGTCTGTCTACTACAGGAAGAGTTTAGGACACTCTTCCTATAGTACTCATACAGAAATGATGCGTTAAACCATGTTTTACGAAAATAAATAAACGAGATAGAGCTCTCCATAAAAACACATGAAAATACCTCTGTTTGCTTTCTTTGACTTCTCTCGATTTGTCACCCAAAGTCTTCAACCTATAAGGTCAAGCAAAAGTATGAGACTCCTGCCGGCTGACATAAAAGAAATGTGATTCGAAAGAGCATCACCTCTGGGTGCCTTTTAACTACCATCTGACAGAGACAAGCGATTGTTCTACTCAGGCTGGTCCTGGAGAGGGGTGTCAAAGGCACCCAAAGGGCTTGGAAGCACGGAGTAAATGCGGGGCACAGGCAAGACATCCCAGGCCTGGGGGGTAGCAGTTAGGCTACCAAGGGGCCACTGCCCCACTGTGGGGGTTTCTGCTTTCCCCTGTAGTGGGAGACATGGCCCTCTCCCCATGATCTCGAGTGTATATTGACATTTTACAGAAGTGGGACTTTGTCTGCTGTGGTTCCCCTGCTTTACCTGTGCCAGATTCAGGCATTAGGTCTTGTTGTGTCAGGGCTGAGAGTAGTCTTATTGTAGGGTTTAGATCAGTGGTTCTCAACCTTTTTTGTACCAGGACCCATTTGTAAACACTGATGGCCAGTCACAACCCAGTAAATAGTTAAAGTAGAAAACAGTCCCCTGGTCCTGCTGGTGCCCCTCACTCCTGGTCCACTGGCCCACACCCCCAGCGTATGGGGCACGGGGCGGGTGTGTGGGACAGAGGGAGCCCCAAGCAGCCCCTCACTGGCTGGAAGTCTGCCATCCTGCAAAGGAGAAGCCACCGTTTCCTATGTTTTTCTCCTTTAAAGGAGAATCCATTTTTTAAAGTTGGTCAGTTCATTTTTTAAAGCTTGTTCACGACCTTTTCATATATTCTTGCGACCCACGGGTTCAAAAACACTGGTTTAGATGAGGGCTGTGTAGGATGGTCTGTCCAGGGCTGACCGTGCCTCAGGCAGGGGGCTGAACCAGGTCTTGGGAGGTCCCTTCCAGCCCCACCTCTCTCCTCGGATATGGCTGTTCACACACGGGACTCCAACAGCCACAGCGGTCCAATGAGCCACAGCGCATCTGAGGCAAAGGGCAAGAGGGGACACAAGGTGTGGGGCCAGAGCAGGGGTGTAGGTTGTAGCCGTGCTGGTCTAAGGACATAGGCAGGCAAGGTCCTTGGGGTAAATCCGATCTCTTTTATTAGACTCACTAAAATAGTTGGAAAAATTCTTCTTTGCCAGCTTTCAGGCACAAACACCCTTGCAAAAAAGTGAAGAAAGCTGGCAAAGAAGAATTTTTCCAACTATTTTAGTAGGTCTAATAAAAGAGATCGGATTGACCCCAGGGACCTTGCCAGGGGAGAGACCAGGCACTGGAAGGTGACCTCACACCTGGTTTTTCAGCTTTAAAAACCCGGGCATAGGAGGAGAGCTTTCCTCTCCCCTTTCCTTTCTGGCGGGGAGGTTGAGGCGCTTTTTAATGCCAAACCTCCCCCCCCGCAGTAACGCTATCAGGCATTACCCCCACGCTGGAACAAGGCGAGAGCTGCCCCCTCCCCCCGCCCCTGTGGGTAAGGGTCTCAGCACCCCTCCCCCCGCGCGCGCCGCGCCCCGCCCCGTGACGCACCCGGAAGCGAGGTCCTGCTGGACGCTCAGCAGCCGCTCGCGCAGAGTCTCCAACATCTTCCGCCGCGGAGCTGACCGGAGCTCGAGCGCCGAAACGCTCCCCGCGAGAGAGGGGGCGGGGTCTCAGCCCTCGCTTCCGCCTCGGGCCCCCGCGCCCCGCCCCACCTGTCACCGGGAGAGGGCAAACCCCACCCCCTTCCCGACGGGGGTGGGGTTCCGCCCGGCCTAAACAGACCGCGCAGTGACGTCACGGTGTAGGGAGCTCGCGCGAGTGCGAAATTGGAACCCACCCACCTCGCTTCCCGCGTGCCGCGCGAGTCGCGCGCGTGGATTGGCTGCTTTAGGTTCTGACCCCGCCTCCCCGCCCTAGAGTTGAAGGGCTGGGAGGCTGCTGGGTTTGGGATGTCGCGTGCATGGGGTGCGAAACCATTGATGTTCAGCAGCAAGGGTCCAGCCCTCTGGGGAGCCTTGCAGGGGTGCTGTGCAATGGGAGTGCTGTGACAGGAGCCACCCTGGGCCTTGCAGCAGCCAGGTAGAAACCAGTTCCACGGCTGTTCCACCTTTTCAAGCCGAACTTGGGAGCTGGTTGTGTCCGTCTCATAGCTGCCATGCAAAATGTGTGTATATGTGTGTACAAACACACGTACGTACACCCCAAAGCCTTGGCTGGGATGATCTAGTTGGGGCTGGTCCTGCTCTGAGCAGGGGGTTGGACTAGATGACCTCCTGAGGTCCCTTCCAACCCTAATTTGCTATGATTCTATGATATAGGTAATATGTAACATTAAACAACTGTACCTGACAATTGTACCCTGGTTGTTCTTAGCACATGATAATTACACTGCATGTGTGTCTGGTCTCCGTTTATTGTGCAATTTGCTCATGGATTGCATCATCTATGTAACATGTGGCAGGGGCCTGTGACTCGCAAGATCACACCAGACGTTTCAGAGGAACGTGTGGTGTTAAAACTGCTCTGACCTGCTGCAGCCTTCTTGGGTTCTTCGCAAGGGACAATCACAGAATCTTAGAAAATGTAGAGTCAGAAGTGACCTCAAGGTTGTCTAGTCCAGTGTGTCTCAACCTTTTTTGTACCAGACCCTTATATTTGTAAATATAAATGGCCAGTCTCCACCCAGTGCCCCTCACTCCCATGCCCCCAGGCCACAGTCTCCCAGTGTGTGGGGCAGGGGGGACTGGCTGAGAAAAGACTGGGTTTACAGGCAAATGGCTTTTGTTTTATGTTAACCCCTTGGAGGGCTTGAGGTGTCTACCAGAGGGCTGAGAAGCATCTTGTTTGTTTGAGTTACGTAGGTAATTTAGTCTTGAGCCCTGCTGGGACAGGCTCAAGACTTCCTTAGAGAACTAGTAACGCAGATGTCCTCAGATAAAATCCTACATGAGGCCTTAAAAGATTAAATGCGAGGAAGGGACCCAGAGAATTAAATCCAGTAAGGGATCCTAGAGCCTAGAAAAAGGCTGAGACCCAAACCAGGAGGTCCCAGAGCTTGGGAGAGAGGCTGTGTTTGAGGCCAGGGGCCTGAGAGTGCAGGGGAGACTGAGGAAGGGACCAGGGGGTTTGAGGGCCCAAGGGGGCCCAAGCGTATAAATAGTCATGACAATGAGAGAGAACATCCGTGAGGCTTGGGGCATGGTGTAGGGGAGGAAAAGGAGCCATACAAGTTGTCCCTAAGGCTACAGGTGCTCTACAGTAGGACCAGGCAGCCAGACTGAGAGGGACATATGATGGCTGGATTTAGCCTAGTGTGACCTCTGAAGAGACCCAGTGGAAATTTATTGGAATTAGGGCTCGCTCTAAGGCCTGTTGGCAGCCAACCTGAATCAACTTTAATATTAAAAACAACGTATAGCAGGCCAGGAATCTAGGGAGAGTGACATTAGAGTCCGAGCCGAGCAGGAGCTGCGAGGCCACCTAGGTATGTCACAGCTGCCCCTGTGGCAACAAGCCTTGTCACAAGTTCAGAAATTGGACAGCCCTAGTTTAAGGTTTTAAGATGACCTACTGGGAAGGAGATAGCCCTTCAGCTCTCAACGTTTGTTCCTGCCTGAGGCAGAGCAAATGGAAAAGGAACCTTATCAAAGAGAAACCACATGGAGTAATACATTCTCTGTCATCAATGCTGTCTGAAACTATGTGCCTCTCCCCACTCAAAGAAATAGATGGCAGATGAGCCACTGGTAAGGTCCTTTTCAAAAGTCTGCAACCTGATGTGAAATCCTGCATGTTACAAATTCTACAAGAGTCTCTATTTCTTGGTTCCAGATAACCAATTATAGATGTGAATTGGGCTCCATAAGACTTAAGGCAGCACTGTGCAGAGAGATCCCACACTAGCTCAGCGTGCACCAACTTCCAAACTGGTGTGAATGTGTCCGTGAATATGGCATACTATGTCTACAGACAGATATCACATTTGTGCGGGGCGGGGAAGGGAGAGGGGACAGGGACAGACCATTTTCTCCAAGGACAAAGTGCAATTGTTCACATGTCCACATCTGTTATACCGGGACCAACCCTAAAAAGTTTGCATAAGAAGTGCAGACAGTTCTAGCTGTTCGCTAAACCCCAGTGGGAAGGGCAATGTGTATACACGTCAGTCCCTCAACTTTTCTGTTCCAGGACAAACCCAGGCACAACAATTGTGATGTCTGTTCTTAGCCAATATAAGCTAAGAAACCCTGCTTTTCACAGAGCTAAGTAGACAGTGCACCGTTCTATACTTATGAGGTGTGCGTCCCCACATGCAGAGGCATGCAGTTGCCATAGCAAAAATAGCATCTCTAACAGTTTCCTGAGAGTCTTTACTAACTTATAACTGAGTTAATCAGCAGATTCTCTTAGGTTAAAAAGTAGCATCATTCAACATTTCCTTAGACAATAGTGTATGATCGAACCATTTCCTCAGTGTTCAGTCTACAGAAAAATTCTGTATTGATATATGAAGGGAGAGAAAAACGAGAAACATCACACAAAGCATGGAAATCATTGAAAAATAGGGTTGGTACAAGGACCTTAAAGAGGTCAGCTAGTTGATTGCTTGTCTCTGAAGCAGTATAAGTATTCATTAAAAAAAAATCTATGACATGTTTGTCTAGCCTGTTTTTAAAAACCTCATGAAGTCTTTGATAGCCTTGTCCCAGTGCCTCATTATATATAAAATTACTCCTAATACCTCATTTAAATTTTCTTTGTTGCAAATCAAGCCAGTTACTTTTTGTCTTAACACCAGTAGGCATGAAGACCAATTGATACTATGCCCTTTATAATAGTTTTTTATTTTTCTTTTATATACAAATGTTATGGTTCTAGGAAAACTCAATTCTTGAGCCTTCCCTGATAAGCAGAGGTGTAACCAGTCATTTTCTGGGCAGTGGTGATGCACAGTGCAGGAACAGCAGCTGGAGATTGCCTGCCCAGCAGGCACAGGATAGAGCAGGCCAGAGTGATCTCTACTCTGGCTAGGAGAGGGGTAAGAGTGATTAAAGCCACCATTGTTCTCCTGTTCCAGGAAACTGAAGGCTAAATACAGTTTGCCCAAATCAGAAGATTCATCAGGGTCCACCAAGGTGTTAGACCTGGGGGGTGTGGGAAGGGCATTACCGTCAACTGTAGTCAGCAGGACAGTCAAGGTCAAACCAGGAGTTACTCGCTGAACCAGAGGTGTTAGCAAAAACAGGTGTCAGGAGGCAAGCTGTGTTCAGACTGGGTTTCCAAGGTTCAGGGATTAGTTGTGTGGGCAAGGATACTGGAGCAAGCACCAACAGAGTCACATGGGCAAGAGTCATTCACAGACTCTTCACAGACTGAAGCCAGTTTGTTGCACCACAGGGGACAGGTGCTGCTTAAAAGCCCTAGACCCAAACAGCAGGCTGCTTGGGGGGTTGAGTGTTGCTGACCCCTAGTTACCCAGCTGCAGCGCAGAGGCCTTACAAGATCTGGCCCAGGATGCATGTCTACTTTCACACCAGCATGATATGAGCATAGTTTGTAGATGTTGTCTCCCCAGAGCTGAGATTGTTGTTCCAAACAGGACAGGAAGAGTGAACAAAAAGTTCAGAAGTAAGGTAGGAAAAAAGAGACAAACTGAGCTCAACAAAATACTGTCAGTTCAAGTCTTTTTGAAAATGTAGTAGAATTAACACACATTATTCAAACTGAAAGAGAAACTAATTTGTTCTTTACCTGTTAGATGGAAATTACTTACTGTTGTTTTACTTCTGCTCTTCCCTCTGGGCAAAATTCTGTCTTGGCTTCTGGAAGCAGAGAGGAAGCAGTGGGATTGCAGGTTCATGAGCACAGAAGGGTGGAGTGTGAATGTTGTAAACCCCAGCCCAGAAGCTCATACACTGAATTTCTACATTTGGTTCTTTCTGGGGTATGGAAGACAGCCAATATCTTAAAAAGGAGCTGCCAGTCTTCATGCTTCCATATGGATTTCTTTGCAGAAATCTAAATGAGTGTTTAGAGAGTGTCTCTTCCTTAGAGAGAAACATGTAAGGTTCAGACATCTCTTTGCAGTTGCTGAAATGTTGTGGCTGGTCTGGTCTACTCGAAGTGCAGTTACCAGAGGATTGTTGGGACCAAGCCAGCTATGTTACAGTCTCCATGGGCCACTTGTAATCTCTTAGTTTCAGTGATTAGCCCTGCTGTCCATTTTGTTCTAGAAGTGGATGCTGTTTAGAAAATTCAGACTGTCTTGTCCCTTACATATGAAAAACCTTCATTTTTGCCATCTTTCTCAGATTTACTGTGAGAAATGCCATTTTATTCCTCTTGTACGTAATCTAACAATCGTGAAAAAATATCAGCACCGGTTAAGGTGTTTGCATAAGCTAAATTGAAGAGCCATTTCATTTCTAGCTTTGTTCAGTGCCTTTTAGCTTTAGGGGAGGTGCATTAAACTTCAAGCTCAGACTTGTATTCTCTTCCATTGATTGTGATCAGCATTTTTATGCACTTCCTAACACTCATTAGGAGTCACAGTCCTATTCCGCAGTCAGATTTTTCATCTGTATCACAGGTAATACAACTAAGTAGGAGTTTGCACAATGCCAGCTCATCTAGAGCTGGGAATAGAGTGAAGGGTTTTACAATAACCAAACACAGCTACACAATTCCTGTCCACTTCACCACACAGTCAGAAGCATGCCAAATTAGATGCTACTGTAAGTCACACTTCCACTGTACCT